TATCACTGCCTCTAATGAGTTTACTGAGGGCAAGTCTGGTGACTTTCATTGATGTGAATAGTCATTACTCCAGCAACAATTGTATGTGCTATTTGTATGCATAAGGACTATTTGTGTGGGTCTTGGCTGCAGGATCTGTCTCTTGATCAGAAACAGACAACATAGTTGAAACATATGCTGTAACAAAAATGGTAAAGCTACATACCCAATAATATTTTTGAAATAAAATATGAAATGAGAAGTCACAGATGGTGTTCTTAAGCAAGTTTGTGGGCATACTCCAACCACGTAGCTTAAAGGTACTTGAGTGAATTCAATAGTTGCCTTGAAAACTGTACCAAAAGGGTTGAAAGCTTAATTGAAGGAAAGTGCTATTTACTTACAGAATGGTTTTGTCCTAGCCTGTAATTGACAGCATTATTGTGAACATTGCAGTGCTTGTGGGGATGGTTTAGAATTGTTCAGTGAATCTAGAATCAGTGCCATGTGTGTTTGTTAGGCATAGGCTTAGTACACAATGGGTATAATATTATATTTATTCAGGAAGTCATTTTGTGGTCTGTAGCTAAGGAACCAAACCAAGAGCATGTGTGTTTGCATGGAAAAAATATGGACACATGTGGAGAAATGTAGGCTGTGAAATAACGTAGGATGCTCTTCACCTATCATTTCTCAGAGCTTCACAAACATGTGAACAGGTAAACAGGTTAATAAAATGTTAGGATGTGTACTAACACTAAGAAATGTCAACAATTATTCGTTGTGTGTATAGGCTTAGTGATGCAGTCATTCTAGTTTATATTTATGCTCTGCATATGATATTTTCCTTGATATAAAAAAACTAGTGATTGAAGGGATGAGGGGATAATAACTGTAAACTAGATGAATCAAGGGATTTAATAATAGGATATGGAGACTTCTACTGCAAGGTCACCAGTTTGAGCCTAGCTCAGATCCACTGTGGTAGCTATTTTAACAGCTGTTATTTATTACCTGCCTATTATTTTGTGCACTGGGGCTATTTAGATTTTGTTGTACAAGAGTAACCTCTCCAGATGTAAATACAACTATCTGCTTTTGATTTTTTTTATAGAGCGAGTTAAAAAACAGAAGAACAGGAGTACTTGTGGCACCTTAGAGACTAACAAATTTAAGGTGCCACAAGTACTCCTGTTCTTCTTTTTGCGGATACAGACTAACACGGCTGCTACTCTGAAACCTTAAAAAACAGAGAGAGAGAGAGTTCCCTATTTGTGAAGCTGATTTTCTTGGCCAGCACAGTTAGTTGTCAAAATATGTTCAAAATAAATCTCTTCTGTTTGATTATTCGCTTTGAAAGGGGCTTGGATGGTGCCTCCACACATTATATCCCAATGAAATCTCTACATCCCAGACAGTTACAAGGGAATGGCTGTTAGAACAGATATGGTTTCTTTAGTTTGTCAGGGATTTGTGCCTCCTGAACATCCTGGTGGTAAGATGATTTTAAAAGCACCACTGTCTCAATCTTCAGCATCTTCACGTTTGCCATCTCTCAGTTTGACAAAGTGATAAAAGCTGCCTTGAGGTTGTGGAGGAAAACTGAAATGAAGAATACGAATACCACATTCATTCATTACACTTCACTCCTCTTCTCACTAATTTAAAGAAGTTATTTTAAGGTATGTGCTAACTCTGGTGGCAAAAAGTATCCTTCAAGGTACTTTTATGGCCCCGTCACCATTGTTCCTGGTCATGTCATCCATTTATGGGGTAGAAAGGGTCATTTTAATTGTTTGATGCCAAGTAATTTGATTTTTAAAATGACTACAAATATCTAGTCTAGAGAAACAAGAAAAGCCAGCTCTGACTAGTTGTTTCTCTTACTGCCAACTCAGGTGTGTGACTTCCATTATTTTAGTCACAGTGATTCTTTTACATACTTTAGCACACACCATAATCAAGACCAAGCAAAATAATCATAATTATTAACCATGGCTATCTAATTATGAAATAAAGTAAAGGAAAGAAAACATTAAACAAAACACAGATGACAGAACACAGATGATAAACTGGTTACTTCCATTTCAATCCCTTCTATATGTGTCTTGATGGAGTACTTCTGGCAGAGATTACACCTCTGAGAGTGAAACTGCCTTGGTGGGCCAATTCATTTGGTAAGTTGAGACCAAGATCTTATTTTCCCAAATTATCATGAAGCCAAACTTATTATATCCTTAGATAACTGAGAAGGCTTATAGATGAGCAAAATAATTTTGTTTAGGGAAAAGTGAATCCTATTGGTTATTAAGAATAACCACAGAGTTCATAATTGGGCAAGGTAAGCAATCTCAACTAAATCATAGGATAGTGAAGGAAATATTTAAATCAATTACTTAGAAGAAGCTATTTAAGGAGCTGCTTTAAGATATGCAGTATTCATAAATGGGCTATTTTAAAATCCAGTTCAATCACACAATTTCTCTGTTTACAATGTTTAGCCCCTGTCTTCACTCCAAGAATATGTGGTCTAACCACTTGGTGTCTAACTGAAGAACTGTTAGCATTTTAAATTACAATAGCAATTTCATATCTTAATAAAATCATTACAAGAGTTTAAATCTAATCACTTGGCAGTGTCTTAGTTAACCAATCCATATTGAAGTCTTGGGGAGCTTTTCCGTGGGTTGGTTTCCTCTTGAGTCGTCTCATATCTCTCTGTCCTTTCATATCTATCTGTGACAGCTTCTTGTAGAGATGGGCAGGATGAGTTGTGGAGCACTTGTGTATAAGCAAGGTAGCAGAGGGGATTTGGTGGGGAATTCTCATTTCAGGGTTTTATACTCTCTTCCTTCCTTTCCATGAAATTAGGAAAACACATCTCTTTCAGGATTGTTTAAATTCAGAGTCGGTTGCTGTCACCCTTTCATTGGCTTCATGCTGTTGAGATTTGGGTTAGGTGACACCCTCAGCTCCCGCATGTGCAGTTTGCCTAATGAATATATAAAATTTCTTTTAACTGCTTTTGTTGTTCTTGTGGTGGGAAAGCATCAGATACATTTTAAAGTTAGTTTTCATCTTTTTTTTTATTCAGTCAGTTTTCTGAGATATCCCTTTAGTTCCATCAGGATTTAAAAGGAGTAGAAATTGTGTTTCAAATGAGTCCAAACATTCCTGTTCTCTTTATAAACGTCAGCTCTCAAAATGGCCTTTTTAAATTAAATTCTTGGAGTCTTTAAGCTTCAATGCAACAGAGGGTCCTGGGTAACCGTGTTAGTCTGAATCTGTAAAAAGCAACAGAGGACCCTCTGTTGCTTTTTACAGATTCAGACTAACACGGCTACCCCTCTGATACTTAAGCTTCAATGGCCATCAAAGAAGGTATTGTCTTTTCTTTCTACCAATCTTTGAAGAGGTGGTTCTTGTCTTCATAAACTTTGATAAGGGATTGCTGAAGCATTGCCAGATAACTAATTTCCCTAATTAATATAAGCATTTCTTTACTCAAATGACTTCTTATATTAGTAACTAGTTATAGCATCAAATGGCTTTGCTCTATTTGTACATAAAGCATTTTACCATTTACATAACAGTGATATTAGGAGCTGTGTCAGGAGCTTTGCATTTAATTAACTTTATTTGCAGATCTGCATTTCACAAAGATTTTTGCCATTTCAATATTTAAGAACTAAACAAAAGCAGTAAAATATTTCCAACCACATACGTTTTTCCTTAAGCTTTAAAAGACACAAGCAGGGATTTTCCATTGAAAAGAAAAGGGTGGCGATTGTGATATAGGCTCATTTTATGACTTGGATGTATCGATAATAAATTCCTTCACTCCTTCTGCAATCAGGTCTCTTCCTAAAAGACGAATGTTTTACATGGGTACAGTCTTGTTATAGCAAGTAAACGTCTATTGGATCTTTTGTTCAAAGCACACATTTCAATAATAAGTTCATCTTTAAAACATGGCAGAACAGAAAGTAGTACAAAGTTAAAGCAAGGTATACTTTAAAATCCAGCTTTTCTGAATTTGTACAGCACTTAGGGGCAATAAAAATCCTTATGGCTAAGAAGGAGTTACTTGCTTGTCCTGGGGGACAGAAAACAGAAACCTCCTGGAATGTCTTTGATTGGCTATATGCTTGGTAACATAACTAGCTAAATGTAGTATGTACTGTTATATTTTCAAGCATCCAGGCTATTACATACTTGTAGCTATATCTTAGTGTCAATAAAGGCAGAAACAAGTTTGTAACTACCTTAAAAAAGTGTTATAGAGTAAATATAATTTTTGTATCAATATTGAGATCTTTCCCCTACAGTGTCCTGTAAGTGGTTATTTTTTTCATATCAGTAATCCCCTGCATATGTAAATTATACTTAGGCTTGGCAGAATTTTATATATATAATTTCGATGGATAATATCAAAGTTTATTTTAAAGCATTTTTTCAATTTTTGTCTATTTTAAATTTTCACAGACATGGGAAATTATGGGTGAGTTAGACAATGGGAGTGTCAGACAATAATTAATGACAGTAGACATTGAGATTCAAAAAGTTAATGCTTTAGAATTGTTAAAAACACAAACTGTCAACATCATATGTCAAAATACACAAAGTAAGTATCCTTAAATAAAACTTTGATAGGGTCTCAAGCAGCATTTTTCTTTCTTCATCTATCTGTAAATTTATATTATCATCAACAGAAATATTTTCGTTGGTGTGTGTGTGTGCGTGAACGCAGCGAAATTGACATTTACCGATTAAAAAGTCTTATCTTTCTAGATGTAGTTATATTGCAAAGGTGCATTCATCCCCTTTACTTTTTAATTCTGTCTGTATTGCATGGGAAGAGCCTGCTGTTTTCCCCGCAGTTTATCATCTGTTTAAATTGGCTCTTGGGAATGACCTGGGCGAGCACTGTAAAAGCCCTCTGACTACATTAGCAATGGATAGAGCTACAGAAGTTACTAACACAGGTTGTTGAGTTATTTTGTTGTTGTTTTTTTCCCCAGATGAGGATAGGAATTCATTCAGGATCAGTTCTGACTGGAGTTGTTGGTGTGAGAATGCCACGTTATTGTCTCTTTGGAAACAACGTCACTCTGGCAAGCAAGTTTGAGTCAGGAAGTCATCCGCGTCGCATCAATGTCAGTCCAACCACATACCAGTAAGTGCTGCTAGTCTTTCTGGATTGCTTTGATTTCAGCCCTTGTTTTTGAGTGAAATCTTGTGATGCATCCTGCAGTCTCCACCCCCTCCAGGGCAGCTGCAAAATTCCCACCAAATGAAATGAGTGAAACATTGGGAGAGGCTGGGAAGGAGCATTCCACAGGCCCTTTTCACTGCTACAGGACATACTGCTGCAGAGCTAAGAGTGAGCTGTTGGCAGGCCAAAGGAATGGCAGGGAAATGGCCAGTAAATCCATATATCAGCTAGCCTAAAATAACACATAAGTGGGCAATGTCTACCCTACCTCCCCCATACCATGTACTCCATGGATATTGTTATAGTTTTTAGCTGAGGGTTCTGTTCCTCACCCCTATGTGGACTTGATGTAGGAAGGTGCTATTCCAATGGCTTATGAGAGTATATTTAATTTTACTGATGAGGCTGAGATTTCAGAGTTCTACGTATAGTTGGAGGAAAATGTATTGTTTAGCACTGTCAAGAGGCACTCAATAAAAACATTTTCATAATGCAAGAAAAAGTTAGAAAATGGCAAAGCGTTCTCATTGCTAACCCTTTGGAGAAATTATGCAAATTCAGAGTACTTTTGATTAAATCAGGTTATGAGAAACAGCTGGCCTAAAGAAGAGTTCCTCTAATTGTTCAGATTTGACAGCTTGACTATAAGAATTTCTGCAATTTGATTAGTTCCTACGTGCTCATTTCTTTGTCAAGAGATCTATATCTCTCTTGTTCTTCTACATTATTTGTCGTGTGAAGTAATTTTCTGAAGCATCGCTTTGCCCAGGCTTCAGCATTTAGCTGAATGGTGGTTTACAGTATTACAGCAATTAAGCCATGCTGCATTTTTTTTTCAGTCATGCATTTCCATATTTATTTTTCCTGTACCTATCTATGTAAATTAAAGTTTTAAATGGAATTTCTTCATCCAAGACTTGAAGCTTCTGATATGCTAAAATATAAAGCAGTGGGAAACTAAAGTTAAAAAGTAATTAAAACTGGTGAATGAAATGACATTCATTTGGAGAACCCATTCATGTCAGATAAAACTTACACAACAGAAGATGTGCAGTTACTTGAGTAAGAGGCAGACATACTGAGCAGATTTTTGATCATGAAGTACCCAGCGGTGGCTTCAGACAGTTGCATTGTGATAGAGGAGAAGAAGCGGGACCCAAACTAATCTTAAGTAGGGCAAAACTCTGCACATTATTTTAAATTAAAATTAGAAAATCTCTCTTCTCTTTAAAAATATCGGAACCTAGCTTCTTGACCTCAGTGTAATCAAAACATAAAAAGTCTTCTCAGGGTTTTTTCCTGGTTCAAGGGCTTAATGACTCTTAGGTGCGGTTACTTTATCCTTCAGTGAATGAACTCCCATAGAAGTCAGTGGGTGAAAGTCACCCAGGTCTTTGCAGCACTTACATCCGTCTTCAGCCATATTTTGAAGGCTTTTTGCCCTCTATTGCTGAAGGCTGTCTCCATTCCCATCTGTTCCTATTGCTGGTTCTGGAAGTCCTGTCCATGTTAGAGAGATCTTTGAAGAAGTGAGAGACTTTGATGTTAGTTACACAAATATAAACCTGGAGGGCTGGAATTCTGCTGAAATCAGTGGCCATTGTGCCAGTTGACATTGGTGTTATTGAGAGAGAATTTGGCCCTTAGAGGAAATCCAGCCAGGAAAGGTAGATATATGTTTTTTGTGAGTCTGATAAAAGCTCAGTACAGAAGTAACCTACCTACTTAGACCATTCATAGAATGTTAGAATTCTTACCTTTTAAATGTCCAGTGCTGTTCGTAGTGGTTTCAGTAGCCATTCTGTTATTACTTTGGCTGCAACAGTGAAACATCAGCCTTACTATGGGACTGGAGAACGGATCCTGGGATGTGTTGTATCTGCTTTGCACCATGCTACCTTTAAAGCCAATTTAACTAGCCCTGGGAGGATTGCCCCTGTGTGTGATCTCTTGGTAGTATAGGCTGGTGCAAAGGCTCTCTTACATCATCTTCCACTGTGCCGCAAGTGAGGGGTGTGGCTACAGAAACGGGGATGTGACCATGTCTTCCTACAACCCTGCCAGTCCCCTGCTCCCAATTCAATGCTTCAGCTAACTGGCTGCTTGCATGACACAGAATAGCTTTTAGGCTACTGTAAGGTATTTTGGGGGTGCAACCCTGGAAACAGCCACTCAGGATTGGAGGAGCACAAAAGTGAGCATTGCACCACCTGTGAATCCCCTAGGTTGCATGTCAGAGTTCCCTCCCCACTCTAAACTCTAGGGTACAGATGTGGGGACCCACAAGAAAGACCTCCTAAGCTTATTTCTACCAGCTTAGGTTAAAAACTTCCCCACGGCACAAATTCCTTCCTTGCCCTTAGTATCGCTGCCATCACCAAGTGATTTAAACAAACATTCAGGGAGGGCCACTTGGAGCCCTACCTCCCCCAAAATATCCCCCCAAGCTCCTACACCCCCTTTCCTGGGGAGGCTTGAGAATAATATCCTAACCAATTGGTTACAAAGTGAGCACAGATCAAATCCCCTGGGTTCTTAAAAGAAGTTTATTTAAAAAAAGATAAAAGAATCACCTCTGTAAAATCAGGATGGAAGATAACTTTACAGGGTAACAAAAAGATTCTAAACACAGAGGATTTCCTCTCTGGGCAAAACTTTAAAGTTACAAAAACAGGGATAAACTTCCCTTTTAGCACAGGCAAAATTCACAAGTTGAAACAAAAAATAATCTAATGTATTTCCTTACTATTATTTACTATTTCTGTAATATTAGATGCTTAGTTCAGATATGGCTTAGGGAAATGTATTTTCCCTGCCCTGGCTCCTCGCTGACTCGAAGAGAGCAAAGGAACATGAAAACAAAAACCTTCGCCCACAGATTTGAAAGTATTTTCTCCCCTTATTGGTCCTTTTGGTTAGGTGCCAACCAGGTTATCTGAGGTTCTTAACCCTTTACAGGTAAAGAGGGATTTTATGCTACCTTTAGCTGTATGTTTATGACATTGTATCACTAGCACTTTGGCCAAAGGGCTCTAAAATTTGTCTCCATTCTGTGCAGTCCCAGGAAATATAATCCAAGTATTTTTATTAATCCAAATGTATTTGCTCAATCCTGTTCTCACCTCAGTCAACTGGAAAACTCCCATTGACTTTAACAGAATGGGCCAATATAGCAATTTCCCCTGCTCCTCCCACCCCACTCTCTGTCCCTCCCAAAATTAACCTAACAAGGAAACTATAGCCTTACATTTTCAAGGTATTGACAGGGGCAGGAAAGAAGGTCTCTTCCATTCATGTGTTTCAGACTGAGTTTCAAATGATTGAAATTCCTGTCTTAAACTAACAAAATGTATAGCTTCTGACTCACTTTGTAACCTACTCATTCCAGGGGATAAAAGAAACACATGCTACAAACACGTGCCTTCCTAAACACATGCCACTGAGCTATGACACTAAAATAATTGTTTATATTAGGGTTAATATCCACAGTTTTTTGAAATAGCATGAATAATAATGATTTTGCTGAATAGAATTAATTCCTTTTCCTTACAACACCCATGGTGAGAAGAAAACAGGAAGTTCACTTAATTGCCTTGACATCTGAAAATCATTCTTAATACCCAAATCTCTTTCCCTTTGCTAGTTTGTGGAGGATGCCTGGGTTTTGTTTTTAGATTAGCCCTCGGAAACCATCCCATTCTAAACATCTGAGTGGCTCTCAGAGGATCTGAAGGGTCTTGGGGACCAGATTACCTTTTTCTTCTTCCACAATGGGGAGGCAACCCCTGTATCCTGACAAGAACGTGAAGGGCACTCCACGAGGGGAAGTTCTTCCTCCTCCACAGCCTTCTCCCAAGAACTTTTCCATGAGAGGGTTGATTTGGCTTGTTGTTTGATTTGCCTTGATATCCATGAAGATAATGCCAAAAATTAACCCACAGGAGTCTACAGGACTCACCCTTACTTCACTGAGCATATAAGCTGCCTTGTGTGTTCCTCATGCTGGAAAAGTATAGCCTACCCTTTGAAATTATCCTTGTCTTATATTTCAAAGGTACATGTTCTGTCTATTTCTATAAAATATTTTATGTGTATTTTTGCATGTATTATAAAATACAGTATTATATTAACATTTATGGCAACAGAGCATTATCAATACAATAAGTTTTAAATATTTAGCATATATGTTCAGCAAAATACATTAAATTAAAATTAAAAGAAATACATTATCTACTCATTTCTAACCTAGTTAAACATTGGACATGCTACTAGGAACCATATTTTGTTGTATATTCAGTCATTTTAACACCATTTCACTTGCTGTTGCACACAGTACAAATAATGAAGGGTAATTAAAATAAGAACATAAGAATGGCCATATTGGTCAGACCAGTGGTCCATCTAGCCCAGTATCCTTTCTTCAAACAGTGACCAATGCCAGGTGCTTCAGAGGGAGTGAACAGAACAGGGCAATTATAAAGTGACCCAGTCCAAGCATTTGGCAGTCAGAGGCTTAGGGACACCAAGAGCATGGGATTGGCTAATAGCCACTGAAGGACCTATCCTCCAGGAACTTATCTAATTCTTTTTAAAACCTAGCTAATCTTCTGATCTTCACACCATCCACTTGCAACAAGTTCCACAGGTTGACTGTATGTCATGTGAAGAAGTACTTCCTTTGTTTGTTTTCAACCTGCTGCCTATTAATTTCATGGGGTGACCCCTGGTTCTTGCGTTATGTCAAAGAGTAAATAACACTTCCTTATTCACTTTCTCCACACTATTCATGATTTTATAGACCTCTGTCATATCTACCCTTACCTAACTCTTTTCCATGCTCAACAGTCCCTGTCTTTTTAATCTCTCCTCATAACGGAAGTTGTTCTATCCCCCTAATTGTTTTGTTGCCCTTTTCTGTCATATTCCAATTTAACATATCTTTTTTTCAAATGGGGCAAAAG